AATATGCAGAACTCATAAATAAATTATACGACATTGAACCTTGCACATAAGATAGATGTTCGCGCACTAACGCATAGTTCCGTGAGACTCTTCACGGGTCTAAGTGTTTGCGATGCCCTTAAGATAATACTAAAATGTGCTATTATTATATACAAAAACATTTTATTGATTCAACTAAGTAGACACAGATCAACGAGAACATCATAAAATAAACATTACAACACCTTTACCTCCCTCAGTTTTTCCAGCACATTAAACATCTGTCAGTACGAGACAGGTTATTTACGGGACTGTGTTCTTGGCTCGGACCTTTTCTGGGACAGGGGATCTTTTACGGTTGACTTGAATTCGACTAAGAAAGTACACGGTCGGTTAACTAACAATGTATTATTAACCAAAACATACGGGATATGTTTCATTACCTCACAATTATTATTAAATTTTATACGACAAACCTTGTAATGATTGAACGCTTGCTATAATTGTAGTCAATCTTATTTATGCAACTAAAAATAAGACAGGCTGCAACTATAGTAGCCCTTTAATTGGTTAAAACACAGACACACTACAAGTTGTTATCTCTGTGATCATAGCACTTACAATAGCACCAAAATATCGAGAACCAACTGGATAAAAATTATTGTGTTTTGGTGACTGTGGTAACAATCCCGCAATTGCTTGAATAAACGTGGCTCAGATATTCTATTGCTATGTCATTTCGAAACTCACTTCACTTATGCTACGAAACGCTATTACCAAATCAAGATTGAGCGGAAGCTGCTTCGCAGGGTAGATTTACATAAATACATTCAAACTTGAAATAAAAGTTGACTCATAAGTATGAAATAAGCAATGTGCCCGTTGAGAAACAGAGTATCTAATAATTAATGAATTTATTAAAATAATTAATCTTTAAATATAAACAGAAAATTTTAAATATTAGTTGTCTAGTTACAATTAGTGACAGTCACTGTCGTTGTCAATTAAGTGAGCTTAATGTATTTATGTCACATATAGGTACATTATGAAATGAAATGAAAATATCTTTATTAAAGTAGGCTATTACAAGCACTTTTGAATCGTCCAAAAATTTTTTTTCCCCTACCACTTGTTCAGGACGTCTTTTAGCTGACAAGAAGAACAAGCGAAAGAAACTTACCAGCTTTTTATCATAAGTAATGACATTTACATAAATCATGTCATTACCAAAATAACATGTATTATCACAATAATTAGTAGCTCGGTGGCGTAGTGGATAAGCGCCGCGGCCCGCGATCGTTATCGTTAAGCAACTTTCGCAAGGGTTGGTCACGGGATGGGTGACCAAAAAATTATTATCTCGTGCTACTCCGTGCTTCGGAAGGCACGTTAAGCCGTTGGTCCCGGCTGCATTTGTAGTCTTTAATACCCTCCAATCCGCATTGGGCCAGCGTGGAGGGTCATGGCCCATCCTCCTTAACCATCCATAAGGAAGGCCTGAGCTCCTGCAGTGGGAACGTAAAAGGGCTGATGATGATGATGATCACAATAATAAATACAACTTTCAAAGTCTGTAGGACATAGGTTGAACATATAATTAGTCTTTATAGAACAAAGCGAAGGTTATTAATTTCATGCATTGCGATCCTTAAAATAATCATCAACTTTATAAAAGCCCTTACTCATAAGTATGTTCTTTACATGAATTTTAAATTTATTTATGGGTAAGTCAACTACATTTTGTGGAACTTTATTGAACATAGCAATGCATTTACCCAGAAATGACCCTCTGGTTTTCTGAAGTCTGAAGCTTGGAACGGCAAATTTATTTTTATTTCTTGTGTTAAGATTATGAACACCACTTTTTTTGTGAAGGAATCGTAATGTTTTCTTGCGTACATAATATTTTCATATATGTATTGAGAGGCAACAGTCAAAATATTTATTTCTTTAAATATTTCTCTGAGAGATTCTCTAGACCGTAAATTATATATAGCGCGGACAGCTCTCTTTTCTATAATAAAAATATCTTGAATTGTGTATTTTAAATTATTATTGGTAATTTATCCTAATATATTATTATAAAGAGGTAAAGTTTTTTGTTTTATTTGGTAAGCTGCATCATACGCGGATGCTATAGGATATAATTTACGTAGGCGAACACGCGAGAAAACCGCTAGTCCTTTTCGAAACGAGATTATAAATATGTGATACTAGCAGCCCGCCTTAGCTTCACACTAGTATATTACGAAATTATTCATCTACTGCCTAGAGTTTAAATTGTCTTTCACGCCTACATTTATCAGAAATAATGTAATATTCTTTTTTTATGGAATAGGGGGCAGTCGAGCAGACGGATCACCTGATGGTGAGTGATTACCGCCGCTCATGGACACCTGCAACACCAGAGGAGCTACAAGCGCGCTGCCGGCCTTTGAGGGACGAATATGCTCTACGCTACTCTATTAATGGTAAAAGAATTTTTCAAATCGGTTCCTTACTATTTAATGCATTAATATATATTATATATTAAGTTTCTATAATTAGTGTAATTAGCGTTCCAATGGTGTATATTTATTTCTTTATATCATACTAAAACTTTGTTGAATTAATGAATAAATAGGGCCATCAAATCATGCCTTTCTATAATATTTTACTTGTTCTTGCAAATAATGTTTATTTGAATATGACATCATGTATTGAAACGATAAGAAAATATGTGTGAACATTCAATTTGCGGAATATCACTCGATCGTACCATATACGTGCATTGCAATGGGTTCCAATACGGTAAGTGTTTTCCTACGTAACAAATGTTTGCCTCTTGATAGGTTTTTATATATTTATTGTTCATTGCTTATATTCTAGCAAATATAATACATTGATGGCAATACTGTTGCCCAAACAAGACTAAATTTAGTTTACTCCTGACAAACAGAGCTTTTAATTGTGTAAATGACAGAAGTCAAATTATTATAGTAGTGGGAAGCTCCATAGCATTCTTATAAATAATTGTGTTTAGTACTGTTATTTTGCTTGTAGAATTGTATTTTAAATTAAAGATTTCTATTTGCATTTTTCTAACATTTTACTTTATAATATGATTCCATCCCGACTTCTATTAATTGTATTTGTTTGATTACATCTAATTATACAATAAAGATAAAACAATGCCAAATATTTTTGAATAGTTTAGTAGTTTATATATGTCTGTGGTTTAATTTAAAAAGTAATACAACAAAATTGGCACAGTTCACTTAAATTAATGCAGAATAGGAAAATGTAGATTGATTTATTGGTGTGTTTTTATCGTGAGTTGATATTGTGCATACTAACTTGTTCAAACCATTTAAAAGTAACACCACAGGTATTACGTTCGAAGTTAGATAGCAGTAAAAATCAAAAAGTAGGTTACAAGCTTAGAATAATGAACAGGGATCAGGAGTATCAAATCGCTATTGGAGGGAAGTTATCTTTAGCAAGAATCGTCTAATAAGTTAAACCAAGAATTCATATATCATGGATGCATAGCACAGGAAAATGGATCGCAAAAAAAAAATATTTAAAGAGAGTGAATATCTATATTAATATTATAAAGAGGGAAAGTTTCTAATGTTGTTTGTGGAGGATGATCTCCAGAAATATTGATCCCATCTTAAAAAATATTTCCCCTCACATCAGACTCGGCTGACATAGGCTGCATTACGTGGACGAAGTTGCAGTAACCACTAGTTGTCAATAAATTCGTGTAAAGATAAATTTAAGCTCTAATGAGTGCTCTTTTGATGTGACGTTTGTGCAAATAAATGAATGTGGTCTAAAAGGTTTACTTAAGCGAAAAAAGACATTTCGTTATGGGATTTACGATAATTAAGATAAACTTGAATAAAAACAATTAAATACCCAATATACAATAATTGAGGTTCCCAAGTAGGTAAGTTGTTTCACGTAGATATATCACAGCACAGATTTACAGATTTACATATTACTTTAAACAATATTACATTCATATAATGATTAAATTAACATTGAACCATGATCTTTAAAAAAAAAAAACGTAGATATAAAAGCGAATAATAGAAAAAATTTTTTTTAAAGATCATAGATAAAAAGTTTGGATGCCGGAACCTAGGACAAAATAAACAGTGTGGTATGACGCACAGTTACAGTAGTCAGTAGGTAATAATAATATGACAGCTTCTGCTAGTTCGTAAATATATTTGCATTTACTCTGACTTCAATTTCCTTTTATAAATACAGTTTACTCTCTTCAGCCGTCGATTACAAGTACCCTTAACACGAAAAATCACGGAGTACGAATCGAATAAGTATTGAGCAGAGACATCAAATTTTTGTGTTAGAAAGTTTGGTTTAGGGTATGTGGCACACTGAATTTTGTCATCGTAACTTGATGTTTCTGTTACTACGCTCGCGTCTTTTCTGTGGAAGTTATCTAATTATCACGTGTTAAGTGCACGAACCACCGCGAAAAATTCATAAACACGGCGAGAGGAGACAACAATTGTCTGTCACGAAAAGTCTTCATTGTGCGAAAAGCTTTACTGTATCTCCGTGTGCAAATATGAACACAAATGTTTGCTCGCTACAAATTCAATGTTAAGGGTAGAGTACACTGTACTAAGATTACTTTAAACACAATGACTGTTAATTCCCACGTGTTCCTTCCAAAACGCTTGGCTCGAAGCATTTTATTTTTTTATTTTTAAAATATGTAACTATTTGATGATAGTAGCCATTTTAGATTAACTATAACACTAAATAAATTATATTGTCACCAGAAGTAAAAGTGAGTACAAAGTTTCAAATCGATTGATCAATCATCGTCGTCAAGGAACGGGGTAATATCTACATTAAATAAATTTGAGTGCGCAGCCAACATGTTGTTGTCACATTACGTTATTGATTACTAAAAAAATCAAGAGTGACTTCTACAGGTAGTATTGAAAAAAAAAGAACCTATTTTAGTTGGCAATTTTAGTTAAAAGAATTAACAAGCTTACCAAGATGGTTGTGATTGTGTCTGGTGAAACGTGGCGAAGGTGGCAACGTCGGCGCACCGTCGCATCTCACTTCCGCTTTCAGCCGCGAGCCTGTACGCGGGTTTACTTGCACGCCAACTACGCCGGACGCCACCACACTGCCCTCACCCTTATATTCATAAAACATAGGGAATCAAACAATACACACGAAAAATCATACAGTTGTAAAGTGAATATATATTTTTGAGTTTATTATGAAATTTAAGCTAAACAAAATCTTGAATTTATCAGTATACGATATAAATCTACACAAAACTAAAAAATATAAAACCACAATTAACATAAAAAATTATAGGCTACGAATCGAATAAATAATATAAAAAATTGTATTAGAAATCTTAGTTTCCTTCACGATGGTGAGATGACGCTATGAAAATATCAAACGTTTATATGATCGTTTAAAATATAATTCTTCATAATATTTACTTAGGGTACCTTTTGATATCATAATTCTATAGTTCAATTTATGTCTTTTCTTTACCCTCCTTTTATATTATCAATATAAAATAGGATTAACTTATAAAAACACTTGATAACTTGAATAAATGATTAACTTAGAAAAACACTCGAAGAAGTCAACTGTCTCTCGTACCAAGCGTACTGAATAATGTTCTTCATTGAATCGAAACAAAAGTGAAATCATTTGAAAAACATTCAGTGAAAAGATCAGTCTTTTATCTTCATTACGAATCATTATTATAGTTTTTTTTATAATATAACTAATAAAATAAGCAACAAAGGACTTAAAAATACTACCCTTAAAATAAAATATCAGATGAAAAGAAAGCGTGGAGGCATAAACTAAATATATCAGGGGCATACAGCCGGCAAAATATTTTTCATGGTGATATTTTAGGGCAGGCAGTTATAGATGAGTAGGTAATCTACAGCAGCAGCTTTTAGGCTCTTTTGAAAATTGAACCTTTTTGAAAAAAAAGTAAAAATATTTGTCTTCCAAAAAGGTTAAATCGTCAAAAAACTGAATTTTGTGCACCTACTTGAGTAAAATGTTGATTCTAAAGGGAATTGTTCAATTTTGGCTTTTGGTGGACAAGCTAATTAGTAAAAACTATGTTAATAGTAAAATATTATTAAAACTGAAAAAAATATTTTTTATACTCTCGTCATGGGAAACTAAACATTAAAAATATTATTTTTAAAAGAATTTTTTGGATTCGGATATGTTTTGTTAATATGTTTCACTGTGTTTCCATATCAATAAATGTTATTAAATTACTATTACTAATAGTATCGATTAATCGATAAGATTTAACTTTAATACAAATGAAAGTAATTAAAGTATATATTTATTAATGCATATACAATAGGTGATCTTTTGCAAAATCATGTATCAAATATGTTAAAAACATAACAAATAATCCTTTTCGGTTAGATATAAGTTAATTTACACAAACAATCGATTACTTTCTAATCGATTAATGATTTTTATATGGCAGCACCTTTTCACTTTGTCAACAAATATGTTTGAGTGATAATTCTTATTAAAATGATTGTTTATATAAAATAATTCCTTAAATAACGTATTAATATCGTTTAACGTGTTGTTTTTGGTAAATCCATGTAGAAAGATAGAATTGGTAATTCAAAATTATTTGGTTTAATGAATGTATTTAAATCGTGTAATATCGTCGGCAGCTTTGTATAAATTGTGAAAGATCTATATTACGTACTAGATCACATCTACTGCAAACAATATCCGACAGAGAAACACACATTAGAAATGAAATTATTGATTGGATATCCCCACGACAGGTAGGATTATAGTTATTTTTATTTATTAATGATTACTATAATTAAACTTCCTTTATGACATGAAAAACATTAATATATCGCTACCATATCGTTAAATAACATTTTGTTGACAAATAATTTAATTATATACTATACTCTTTTAGATGCATGGATCTGATCACATCTGTCATCCATGTTGGCAGCGAGCAGATAGAGACAGTTCCTTCTAATATTCCAGAACCTATACAGAACATTACCTTGCCGGATTTTAAAAGAGCATCTGATTCACAAGCATAATGTTTTGTTCCGGGTTGAGACTCACTACAGCAACTGACAGTTCCTAGATGGCTTCAGGTAAAATTGTTTGTTGATTTTAACTTTTATGTACCAAAAACCAGTAGACTGTAATTCTCATTTATATTATAATAATTGGGCTGAATGGTTGTCTATCATGCAAACTATTCATACATTTACTATAGAACTTATACAAGATTTTGCTTCATTTGTAAAAAAGAAATCTTACAATGGATTTTAACAATATTGAAGGAATGACTGAAGACATTATGCACTTTTGAAGGTCTGTCTAAACAGGAGTTCCTTCAGTTAAAATTAAATTGATTTAAAAAATTCTTTTGCTTTGGGAAGCTACATCTTTCATCAGAATGATATACTATTAATACTGCTACTATTAACTAGTTGTTCAATATTTAATGTTAATTTATTATTAAGTAGTTATGTGCAAATGTACTGAATAGGTGTTTTAAAATAGTCCTTTCTGTTAATAGGCGCAGATGTAAATGTGAGTCTACAGCCGCTCCTAGCCGAAGAGTTGTGCTTGAGGGTGAGCACAAATCAGGAGAATAGTCTTGTTTGAGGGAGAGCACACGTTAGGAGAGGCCGTGGAAGATTCAAAGATTAGGACGTCATGTGACCAACTTATTTAAATGTAGCTGCCTTTTTAACTGCCCAAATGCTAGCCTCCAGCTGAAGAGAAACTGTATGAGCAGTGTAATTTATTTATTAAGTGATTATGTAAAGTCTATTCTTATAAATATGTGTATTTAGAAGTACTGTCTTTTGCGTGTAGAATTGTATTGTCAAATTAAAGGTAAATATGTGTAAATCTACAATTTCTTTATTTAGACATCTCTGTTTCTTATTTCTAACATAAATAAATTAATATGATGATAAGGTTATTAAAGTATGTTACAAAAAAATAACCTTTTCGTTACATCGTTAATGGAATACTACACATGCTTATATATATACAATTTTAAACTTTCCCGTGAAAATATTACAACAGTTAACTTCCTTAAGATATGGAATATTAAAAAATAACGTTTTTTATAACTGTAGATAATGTCCACTCAAAGCCAAAGTGCCCATACAAACTGAACAATTCCCTTTGTGTAAATAAGCACATAATTTTGTTAACCAAGTTTTATTCCATGATATTTATTTTCAAGCTGATTGGATTGGACTGTCATTTATTGTAATAGATGCCAACTCTCATAATGTCTCATAAACAGCACCGAACTGAACATGTGTACAATAAAAGATATATTATTCGTCCTTATATCTTACTTATACGGTGAAACGACAGAGTTTTTTATTATTATCTTTGCTGAACATGACGGAAAAAGCTTATTATAGGTGTGTTTATCGTGAATAATGTCTTGCTTGTTTTGTTTTTTACGTGAGAATATAATGTAAAGAGACCTCCAACCGGTTTATATATCAGTAGACAATATTAAAAAAAAATACTATTTATAATCATAATGATATACTTAGTCTCGGTAGAAGCAATCTTGAAATAGCGTATCTATTGACTCCTTAACGTATATGTTCCATATTTATTGTTGTGCCATTATTATTTCAAATATCTGCTAAACTGTACCTAAGAATACTACGTACTTCAGTATATTAAATTAATTTCTGTAACTTAACTTGTTAAATCATCATACAAAATCATTGAAATGATTTCTTATTCCACATAAAATATTTGAGGGTAATTATTATTCAAATTCGTGCAATCTTTTTAAATTTTTCAGACATTCATTTGAAATCAGTTATTATCTTTATACAACTTATTATATTATTAACTTTTTACCGTTATGAATAACCTCAGTAACAACAATATTAAAAGTTGTTTTAAAACCATAAAGAGTAGATTATAAATCTAAAATCAAGACTTATCAAAACAGCTTTACTGTTTCACATTTTCTAACCCTAAAGTGCAAAACAGACAATGTGTGACAAATAAGACGCCTTTGCCGTGATACCGTTAAATTGACGAAACGGAGACCGAGGTGGAAACCGTGAAAGCGAGCAACAGTTTTAAACAAAAATGAAACTGCACTAAAACGTCACCCCTTTTTCCTTGTTTGCATATAGACAAGATACTACTTAGTACACATACTTAGTTGCTATTTTTGGCAAATGTATATTTATTTTACATTTAGTTGAGTCCTCATAATTTTCTTCTTAAGCAACACTTATTTAGATAATTCGCCATCGAATTACAAGGGTAATGAGTTGTGAATGGAAGAAAGTACAAAACGCCTATCTGTATAATTCTGGTATGCTATTTAATACCTAGGGAATGTAAAGATTGGGTCGGTCAGGGAATGTATGAAATATAATAATCCATTACATACGTTCCCTAGGTAATGTATACAATTCCGAGGGATTGTATAGAACCGTCCCATCGGCAATATGTAAAATAAATCAATCTTAGTCTATATATATATCAATGTTAACTGGCTAACCATATACCTGTACTGTGACTTTATTTATGGTATATTATTTTTCTCTTTGTTGATTAATTATTTTACTGTTTGGTTTATAAACTTGTGCATCTTACAGTTTAAGAGCATTTTTGACTCAATGCATATTAAAAGAAAGCTCATTTTTATTTGTTTATATAGAATAAATAATATTGAAATTTAGAGTTCAGCTATACAGCCCAGAAGATTGACGAATCATTTAACTCGAGCTTTTCATCGTTAACTTTAATTTCTGCAAGTTCTTCTTTTACCTAAGGTAATATACACTTTATACATTTAGTTTTTTTTTTTTGCATTTAGCTGGAGATTAATTAGAGTAAAACAGGTTATTATCTGTGGAAGAGCATTGTTTACATGGTCAAAGTTATTTTTAGATCGATTAACGTTCAATATTAAAGAATCATCATCTGCAAACAATACTATTTAGCATAAATTTTGTACAAAGAATGGCAAATCATCATACATGTTAGAAATAAAAAGGGACCTAGAAAAGATCCCTTGTAAACCCCATTTTCACCCCATGATCAGCTCATACCGTCTATATCTATTACGTGAGTTCTGGAACTGAGTGTTAGTGAATGATAAGTAT